CGAACCGAAACCGCATTTTCGGTTCGGTTTCGGTTTGGGCATTGAACCGAACCGAACCGAACCGTTCGGAGCTTTAATTATAATCATAATATCTGAGTTTGACTGGAAAAGTAAAGCTCCTTGCATACTGGCCTGAAGCCAGCTTTAAATAGAAGAAATATTATTTTACTTAAAAAAAAAGAATTATTGTTGTTATTATTTCACATTTTATAGAAAATTGTTATTTGTCATGGACTCTATCTTTCCAGTAATATAATTTTCATATGAAGCAGTTGGAATTAAAGCTCTGCATGAGCCAAATAAGTTATCTGGCTTGCAAGGAGCTTAATTTGAATCATTCTTTAGTCTAAGTAATAGTAGTATTGTAAGATTAAAATTAAAAAATTTGATCAATTTATTATCGGTTTCTTTTTGCCACATTCAAAATTTTTTATTCCAATATGACATCTGAATAACCTTTTAATTCGACTTCATGACAAAATGCTTTTGTACATCTTGGATATTCACACTTGAATTTTTTTACCATGAATTTTGCTAGGTTGGCAAAGTGCTCTTCTTGTTTTCCAGGTGCCTTATTACTATCTTCAAAAATTTCACTATCATTTTCACTTATATTGTCACTATTATCATTACCACTCTATTATTCTTGGAATTGTAATTGACAATCCTTTTGTGAATGGCAGTAATAATTTAAAAATCCAATCTGACTCTGTATATTTTTTCTGGGAAAATTTTTTTTTTAAAATATAGGAATTTATTGAAAAGATTTTGAAATATAAATTTATAATCTTATTTAACCTTCAAGTATATGGTCGAATTGTATATATTATATTAATACAAATGGATTTACAATATATAAAATAAAATAAAATTTAATAATTATAATAGTTCTAACAGTCGATTAACAATATATAGAAGCTGCTGGTGGCTAATTACTATTTGATCATTTTGATAAGTATTAGAAATTTGAGAGCCTTGATAAGCAAATGCTCACGTTGTTGTTATTATTATTATTATTGGCATCTGTTAGAATCATACTGTTTTGACCGACAGAATTATTGTTAAAAGTGTCTTGTTGATTGAAATTATTATAAACAAAACTTCCATGAGTGAAGTCAGTAAAATCGACATTTTGATTATTTTGAATAGAAGCCGAACCGGTAAAATTTGTTTGTCCATTTGGATGAGAAACAAGATTAAAATTTTGGTTATTGACACCTATTTGAACCATGCTGTTTGGACCAACAGAATTGCTGTTAAAAGTGTTTTGTTGATTGAGATTGTCATGAGCTAAGTTTCCATGGGTAAAGTCAGCAAACTCGGCATTTTGATTGTTTTGAATAGGAGCCGAGCCGGTAAAATTTGTTTCTCCGTTTGAATGAAGAACACGATTGGGGCCTTGGTTATTAGTGCCATTAATCAAATCATTATTGTCATAACTTTGATAATCCATTTTTAATTTTTTAAATTTTTTTTTGAAAAATTTTTTAAATTTTTATTTTTGTTTATTTTCAGGTGCTTTTATTGCGATTTAGACCAGGTTATAAAATTCAATGCGGGTGTAACATCGTACATTAGCAGTTTTCTGTAAATAGTAATAGTTTACAAATTTGTAGAAGTCGGCATAGTTACACACTGAAATTTACTGATTTAGACTATCATATAAAAATTTTTTTACTTTAACATCTAATTAAACAATATAAATTATTTTTGTGTTATTCTTTTCTGATGTTTGTGGTTATTATTATCATTCTTTATCATTATCAAGATTAGTCGTAAATAAAATCTTATATTCCACACATTTTATGGTGTCAGGGTTTGTTTTATTTGAATTATTTGTGTAGAATATTATAATGCGAGTAATATCAACATATTATTATTTTGTGAATTGTGTGTGAATCGCAAAT